AGAGTAGGAAAACTTAACCTTTTTTTTTAAAGAATAGTACTAATTTTTAAACATAAGGTATTTTTTTTATAATCGCTTTTAATTGGTATATTTAACTGATATTTTCAAATTTTACATTAAAGTACACATAAAATGTAGTGAGAAAATAAAATCAATTGCAACTGAATTGAACAAATTGAAAAAATATACATGTGTTCATGCCACAATAAATTCAGTCTCTTTACAATTTTTATTGTTTTTAAGCTTTAATTAACTACTTTACAACTTTCATTACTATGTTTGTCCTCCTTTCTCCACCCAAAGTCATGTTCTTCACCTCTAACAGCTTCGACTTTTTGAACAATTTCACCACCTCTTCCACCTCTTCGCCACCACACTCTTCCACAGCCACAACACACGCGCCGCCATCTCTCACCGTTCTCTCCATTTCCCTCACGTATCGGGCCGGAAACAAGGCCCGTTCTAAATACGGGCTGAACACGAAATCAAACACCTTATCAAAAAACGGCAGATTGTGTGGATCCGCACGGCGCACCAGAGGATGTGATTCAACAACCTCGATACCGGAGACATCGTTAACCCCCATGTTATTAAGGGCCATAACAGGATGACCCGCCCCGGCTGACACAACTAAGATCCGAGAATTGTTGGAGAAGAAATTTTGGGCCTGGAGGGATTGGAATTGAATTGTAAAGGAATGGACTGTTTGGATCCATGATTTGGTGGACCATATACGGCGATTGTGTTTGTTTATAGTGGTGAAAGTTCGATGGGTGAAATCGCAGGTGGATTTGGGGAATTTTTGGTGGGGTTTTGGATTGGGATTGATGAAGATCTGTGGGGTTTTGAGGTAAAGGAGGAGAAGGGTTAGTGTTGCAATTGTAATGGATGTGAAGGAGAGTTTGTTGAGGAAGCTCTCCATGTGTGTCGTCTCCATTGATGGATAAATCTTTATCGGGAAGAGAGCTTAAACGGTGTCGCTTTTATCCTTTTATCTCTTTTTCAAATAGTCCCACTAGCGTCAATGGAAGGAAACAACCTTACAAGCTTGATTCAAAATTTTGCACAAGTGTCAAATATATCTGTATACTAATGAAAATGGTTCAAATATACTCTTGTTCTGTCCCACTAATTATACTTTTGGTTAATGTATACTCCTTTTACTTTAGTTTGGCATAATTTTTTTTAAAATTTTGATAAAAAGACGTGGCAACCATAAAATCAAATATGTTAATAACTCTTCATATTTATGATACTGATGCATTTTTACTCCTACCCCAAACTTCGATCACTTTTTCAACGTTAAATAGATTTTCAGTAAAAAAAAATATTTTTATCTATGAGTTTCCCAAAGCAAGAGGATCATTTGGTAACCTTTTATAGCGTGGTAGTTAGGACTCATATTGATTATGTATTCCTTAAGAAAGGTGATAAAAGCATTTGCAAGGACCGTAAGATTATTTTAGACTAGAATCTTACAACTCATTAATTATAAGCTTTCGGATATTAAGAGGAAGAAGAAGAGGAGGACTTGATATGACCAACCAAGGATCAGATGAGGTGACTTGACTCGTGCCAAAGCTCAAGTTAAGTTGGTAGCGATAGTTGCTTGGGTAAACAGTGGAGATGCGATCAGTATGTGTGATAAGACAACTAGTTGCATAAGGGAAGTTGCAAGAGAAGTGTTGAGGGCATCGAAGGGTTCCTCTAGTGGATGTCGAGGAAATTGGTAAAGTCCAACACAAAATGGAAGCAAAGAAGACTACTTATGCGAAGTTGGTGGAGAACAAGAATAGGACGGATAAACAAGCAAGAAGGAAATGCACAAGGAGGCAAGAAGGAAATGTATAAGGTGGCAAGGAAGGAGGTGGAGTTAGTGGTTATGGCAGCAAAATGGGGAGCTTTCGAACACTTATATAAGGAGCTACCTAGGGAATAGAGGCGAAGATAAAAAGTTGTATAGACTAGGCATCACTTATATGAGGAGCTTGGAGTGGTTAACTAGGTTGTTTAATATCACTTTCAAGATAATAATAAAGATGTTCGAAGAATGGAAGTGGAGTACGATGATTATTTCAATGTACAAGAACATAGGTGATGGTCAAAACTACAACAACTATAAGAATATCAAGTTATTAAGCCACACTATGAAAGTGTGAAAAATGGTGGTGGAGATGAGGATAAGACCAAGACTAGAATGAGGATTGTAGTAAGGGACTCAAAGCACTTCTTAGTCATGATAGGGTTGCACCAGGGACCAACTCTTAGCTCATTTCTTTTCGCACCTGTGACGATGGATGTATTGACTCAACATATCCAAGGTTAGATAACATGATGGTATATGGTTTTTTCACATATAACACAATACTGATTGAAGAGACTCACAGTGAAATTAACGCTAAAATAAATGTTTAGAGATAAAGTATGGATTTTAAATGGTCAAGGTTGTGTAGGACCAAGACTACATACTTGGTGTGAGATCAATGCTTGATGCTCAAGTCATCCAAAAAAAATGTTTTGAGTATCTCGAGTCTTTAATTCAAGGTAATGACCATAAAGATCGATGATGACGTAACACATTGTATTGATGTAGGAAGGATGAAATGAAGGCTCACCTTGAGAGTTTTGTGTAATAATAAGGTACGCTTAAACTTAAAGGTAAGTTCTACGAAGTGCATCGTTAGATTGACTAAGTTGTATGAGGAGTATTGTCCATCAAAAAGTCACATGTTCAAAAGATGAAAGGTGCGAAAATGAGGTGGATGTTTAGACATACTAGGAAAGAAAAGATTAGGAATGAAGATATCCGGGACAAGGTAGGTGTGATCTTCATGGTGGACAAGATGAGGGAAGCAAGAGATGGTTTGGGTATGTGAAGAGGAAAAGTATAGATACCACAGTGAGGAGGTGTGAGAGGTTGGCAGTGACGGGCATCAAGAGGTGTAGATCCTGCAGGTTGAAGAAATATTCCTCTCATTTCACATTATGTTCTTATTTCTTTTTCAAGTTACTTAGGTTGTGCTTTATTTTAAGCCGGGGTCTATTAGAAAACTTCTCTGTCTCTACGAAATAATTAAGGATAAGATCTGCATATATTTTACCCTTTCCAAATACCACTTATAAGATTACATTGAGTATGCTATTGTTGTTCCTCTTCAGTTCTCCTTTCTTATGGTAATCTTCACGTGAAAAATTTCTTGCTGGGTTTTCCAAACACATTGCCATTAGCAAATTGGAACAGATGACATAGTATATGAAGTTCTAAAAACTCTCGCACAGGTTTTTCCTTGGTTCAGTCTGTTAATTTCCATATATAATTAGTATCATGTTTCACTCTAACGTTCCACAAGTAAAAGTTCAAAAGGTTTTAGCCAGTAGAATGGTCAGAAACTCAAATTTCAAACACAGGCTTAAATGAAGCTCAAATAACTTTTAATGGAGTTTTATAATATGAAGTAGCTGTAATATAAGAATTTATCATACAAGTTTTTATTGTTGACCTACAGTCTCCTATTGATTTTTGGCAGCCATGATTAAGTACTACAACAAATTAGAATTGGCAATTTTTTTTGAAAAATTGAAATCATAGTTCTCTATTTATATATATATATATATATGAGTATATGCAAGTTGAAATTGTGTTGATTTATCATATCACAAAATACTAAAATTAAACTTTAAAATATCAAATCATACCTAATTAATTTAATATAATACTAATTAATAATACTAAAATTAAACTTTAAAATATCAAATCATACCTAATTAATTTCAATACCGTAACGGCCCTGATAAATAGTGTGATGCCGGCCACGGAATAAAACAAACTGTTTACTACTATAATGTTGTGTAGTCACGTTATTTGAGTGATTCTTCTGGTTGTACTACAACATACTATGTAGTACATACAAAAATACAAAATGAGCCGTGTGCTTTACTTTTTGTATTTGTTTCTCTCTTATACTTTGGAGTACATGACTACTCTATTACTAACTTATTTCCTCAATACATTACTTGGATGATGTTGAGTGTGGGGCTGGCTTGCGTGTTAGGTGAAGGCATATAATAGTAGTAATAAACAATTTTAACGATGTACCTTTTCTTGTGAATCATGCTCAACTATTTTATTTTTTTAATATAGAGATAAGAATAAAATAAAATATCTATTTTTATTAATATAGCCAAGTAAAATTAATGAAGCCAAAAGAGAACATGTCAATGTCAATAGAAGTTCAGTACCCTTCCCTACCAATAAGGAATCAATAAAACAACTAAAGAAGTCATTGTCAAAAGACTTTTTTTTAATAATTCGATGAGATTTTATCCTTTGAAGAAATTTCCGTTTAAATTCTTGGTAAATTGGTGAGAGAAAGAGAAATAGTATTATTATACATTACAACATAAAATAAGAAGAGTAAATGAAATAAGTAATTTAGAGTAGAATGTGCATGAGTGACAATAGACTACTATAACAACAATATACCTTGAAAAAATTTCATAAGCAGGGTTCGACAAAAATAACATTTACATAATTTTATCCTTAATTTATGAAGTTAGAGAAATGTATTTTTAGTAAGCGTCCATTTTAAGTAGTGCATATTAAAACAAGAGAAAAATACAATAAAAAAATTAAGTCAAGTATGAAATTATGAAAAAAATATAATAGCAACGTCAAAAAACAAATATATCTTGTATCATCTTATATATAATACTGATGTAAGAAGAAATAACACCAATAGAAATTGTGGTAGAGTGATAAATATTTCTTCATTCTTAATTAGAGGTTTCAAAATTGCATTCCCCTAATCATCTTTATTACAGAGTATTTTACCCTACCATATAAGACTTTACAACGTGCATTCGAATTTAATCAAATTTCGAAGGGAAAAGGATCAGGGAGGTAATTTGGTTTGTAAAAGGGTATTTATGTCCAAACATAATATTTTGTACTTGATCGCAATACTCTAAACTATAAGCTGATATCGTACTCTTCATGGTGTACTATAAAATTGGAACTTGCAAACCAAATTACTCCATAAAATATCTTGCATTTCTCAATTAAGAACTCGCCATCTCAGGTGGAGTTCTCCGGCAATCGAACGTCGTCTCTTCCGTTTTCCGGTGAGTCAAAATTCAGAAATCGCTTTTTTACTCTTTCTTCCTTTGCTTCAGGATTTCTCTGTTGCTGTTTGTTTCTTTTTCCGATCAATTGACTTTTGAGTATTAACTGCCCACCAATTGTTCAACGTATCGTTCATCTTTCTAGCTGAGTCTTTGCTGTTAGAGATTCCTAAGCTCTTTACCTAAATTTTGTTCAATTTTTTCTCTTTTTGGTTCTCTTTATTTGACAAGTGTTCTGCGTGCTATGACTTCATTTGGACGTGAAATCAATTTTTCTGCACAGAAAAAGAGTGATCGATGTAATTCAGCGATATTTTTATCTTTTATACACCGGTTCAGTTATCTTTGATAAATCCATAGAAATCATACAAAATGTATTTTTTTAATGTGCTTTTGTAATTTCATTTGTATATTTCTGTTTATCTCACGATGTTGATTTGAGGATAATTTTCCAGTTTCTGAATTGATGTGCTGGAATTTTAGTACTTTTTGATAAACATTCATGCTTCAATTTGACAGTAGAATGGGTATTAGTGAAAAAAGGATGGAGATGAAACAGCAGTTAGAGTGGAATGAAGCTCAGAAGACTCTGATAACTGTGGACCTTGTTGCTGCAGCTAAAGAGCAGCTCAAGTTTCTTGCTACCGTGGATAGAAACCGTTGGCTGTATGAAGGCCGTGGCCTGGATAAAGCCATTCATAGGTCATACATAATCTCTAAGAGTTTGTCCCGTGTTAATTGTTTTTCAACTATGAATACTGATTATTTGAAAAACTTTACTTTGTAAATCATTTTCCTTTTCTTCTGATCTGAGGTAATATTACAAGTTAATGTTTCATTTCTTTAAAAGGTTACTTTAGAGAACATGCAAATTAAAATCCCAATTTCAGGTACTACTCATGTTGGCTACCACTGTTGGCAAAACACTCTGAGTCCCCCTACTTTGACGGACCCTTGGTTGTTCCTTTGGATTGTGAATGGATTTGGCATTGTCACAGGCTCAATCCCGTATGTGTCTTAACTAGTGAAACATTTGTTATTTAAATTCTGTGACTAAAAGCTATTTATTACATACTTAAATGTCCTTTCTGCCGTCTTTTTCAGGTTAGATACAAGACTGACTGTGAGAAATTATATGGGAGAATTCTTGACAACCATGATGTTGTATCTTCTGTGAATGCGAAATCAAAACAGGATACCGAAGAACTGTGGGAACACTTGTATACAAATGAGCCTTATGATTTGGACTCAGCTAGAGCTCTTTCAGAAGATGTCCATGCAAAAGCTATACAAGCTGAAAAGTACAGTGATTATGATCTAGTCTCTGCTGTTACACGGCAAAGCCCATTCTTTTACCAGGTGAGCAAGAGGAGGCTAAGACTCTTTTTTTGTGTATAGCGCATCATATCAGCAGTCAGACTTGTACAGTTCACAAGCTTCTGTTTTGTTTATTTATATGCCAAGTTTGAGAATCAATGGTTATGTCGAACCATATAAACAGAATGGTTTAACACTCATTCTGATAGTGATAGTAAGGAAAATCCAGAGCTGGAAGGTATAAGAGGCATTCCTTTTGCCTGACATCCCATCCTTAAGGATATATATACCTAGGAGGCCAGAGAAAAAACTTCAGCTGTTCTCCTGCTAATTGTTGTCAAAATCATGTTATCCGTAGTGATTCTAGTGGTGTTATTTTTGTTATCTACTCTATTAAGCAGTGATGTAAAAGTTCTTTTATGTCTTTCTTATAGGTGTCTAGACCACACATAAACAACGATCTCTATCTTGAAGGTGCTGTGGCTCGATACAAGGGTTTCTTACATCTGATCCGGAGAAACAAAGAAAGATCGATGAAGAGCTTCACTGTTCCAACTTATGACATAGACCTTATCTGGCATACTCACCAGTTACATCCTGCTTCTTATTGCAAAGACCTTGTTGACATTATGGGTAAGGTTTTAGAACATGATGACACTGACTCAGATCGAACAAAAGGGAAAAAGTTGGATACTGGCTTTTCTCGCACTACAAAGCAGTGGGAAGAAACATATGGTTTAAGATATTGGAGGGCAGGTGCAATGTATAGAGGCAGTTCACCATCTCCTCTTGGGAATTCTTATTACCCCTCCAACCCTGTACGCAAGAACACAGATATTTTCCATGAGCACCAAAAGATAATGCAGTATCCTGAGATGGAAGCAGTAGAAGTAATTTTCAGCATCTTTCTACTTTTAGCTTTGTCATCTCAATATTGTTTACATATTTTGAGATTCAATATAACTGATATATCTAGGATACTTGCATATAATGAATTCCATTTCCAAACTATATCTGAAGGTAATAAGTGCAAGGATGAGTGATCTGGAGAATGTGCTGAAAATCCTAAGTGATCTTTTGTTTTCAATCAGTATGCTATTAACGCTAGAGATTATAGGGGAGCCATATTATTTTATAAGTATATGATTTAAATCCAATGTGGAAAATTATATTACAACTTTAATTCTACGTTGACATTAAAGACAATCATTATCTGTGTCTGGTCTTACTATGACAGGTAGGGTGTCAATTCATTAAACTGTATCGTTCAGGGCCTATCTTGAACATTGCTGCTCCTGATATGAAGAACATTAATGTGTAACCTAGATTTATAGATCACTTCACTTAAAATAATCTACTTGTCTTATTGCTTATGAAGACCTGACTTCCAAGTTGTAACTTTTAGTAACTTCTCCAATTATTTACAGGTTATGTTAGAGCTTGTAGATATCAGAAACTTACCAGAAGGACACAAGGGAAGCTTCTTTGTCTCATTTAGCAAGACTCAGCCTGATAGAATCTTCAATGCAAAGAGAAAACTTACTATTTTGTCCGTCACTGGGGAAAAACAGGTTGCTTATTTCCAATGTGAACCTAATGGGCATCTTCTTTTTGATCTCATGTCCTGCTCATCGTCTGGTTTGCCTATTCCGAAATCTGTTAAATCTGTGGGTTCTGTTAAAGTCTCTTTAGAAGATTTGGTTTGCCCGACTTCAAAACTTACAATGGAAAAGTGGTTGGAAGTTGTGCCAAGCTCTAAAATTGAAACACTAAAGCCAATCTGTTTACGAGTAGCTATCTCAGTTACAACACCTACTGCAGCACCATATGTCTTTCACTTTGTCCGTCCTCGAGCATTCTCCAAAAATTCTTGCTTATTCCCACTTCCTGGAAGGATTCAGCATGCTAAGAATTGGACTCGTGTCATTGATGATGCTGGTGATGAGGTCATTAGCCTTCAAATGAGGTACTTGATGTTTAAGCATTCTATGTTGTTGATCTTATTCCGTATAGGGACTTTAACGTGGATGTGCCTGTTATTGATATACTATCTGCTTTCTTATCTTTGTCCGTTTATTCGTGGTTAACTAAGGAATCATGATAATGATTTCTTGTGGTATCATCTAAAATATTTGCTACTTTGGCATCACCATCAAATTCTCAGAAAGCTTTTTTTACTTCTTTGAAATGAAGTTGGGGGTAATCCTTTTATGAATTCTCTGTTCAGCCTAATTCAGTATTAGGGGACCTATCTGATATTCTAAATGTCATGGGCCCTTGTGTTTGTAGGTGAAAATTTTAAGCGAAACCGATAATTTCACCAAACATGTATGAGAAGTTAGAAAACTGTCATTACCTTTTCTCCTTGCTGCTTGAAATTCTGTTCATGGCTCCACTGTAGGGACTCGAAGAAATCCAAGGGGGAAACTGATTCTACATTGCACAAAGAGGTAGTTGCCGTCAGCAAGTCTAGCGAGGTACATTCTCTTGCTGAGTTAGTAGGGAAAGAGTGGTTGCTGTTAGATGCTCAGTGGTCTCTTCAACTTCAAACATCCAGCAGTGATGATGGCCACCTTTTTGAGTTGGCTGGTCAGAGGAATGTGAGTGTTTATCCGCCACTTCTTCCTTTTTTTTGTTCAAAAACAACAGGAAAGTAGATTACTGTTATCATTTGATGTATACCATTGTCACTCTTACACTCATCTATTAGATGATTTATATGTCCCATCAGATTTTCTGGAAATGCATCTTTGCTGATAGACACCAATTATCATTCATTTAAGATTTTTATTTCACGTTCCTCATTGGGTTTTCCAGGGAACATGGCTTTGCTGCTAACAGTCTAATAGAGCCCTCTAGCTCTCATTATCTTACTATTTTTCTCTTGCGGAAATATTTGGTGTTTGGAACATTACAAAGCTCAGTAGGTATTAAGTTATTAAATTTGGTAGTTGTTCTGGCTGCTGTGAAATGCTATTTATAAGTTGAACAATTTCAGCCACCTTAATACCTATACACTTAATGTCATTAAAGGTGGCCTTCTAAGCAATTTGTAGAGACTGTTTCTGTGTTTTCAATCATTATGAATTTGAGTATTGCGATCAAAGTTCTCTTATACAGCTTCTCATTTACTTACTTATTTCAAAATAATGAAATAGCTGAATTTGTTGGGTGTTACCCATAATTATCATTCCACAAGTTAACATTGTTCTGGATCTCCATGCATTTATAGTTCCCACACTCATATTTTGTCCAGGTGAAATTCTTCCCTGGTCAGAGGCTGGATTATGAGCACAAGCATTGTACAAAGCAAAGGAGTCAAGATGATTTTATGACAGCGGTAGAGTTCTCTGCACAGGATCCTTATGGAAAGGCAGTGGCGTTGGTTGACTTGAAATTTGGAGTTATCAATGTAAGTAATTTTGTTATACTCTTGTTCCAGTATCAACTTGTGGAATCACAGTTCTCTAATAGATATGGTTTCCTTGTAAAATCAGGTGAAAGAGGAGTGGTTTCTTTTGCCTGGTTCTATAACAGCTTTTGTACTTTGTGATACGTTGAAGAAGGAAGGGTATAGTAGCCTGGTAGGCAGTGCCAAACATTCGAAAGAGAAGAATTTTTCCATTCAAGAAACTGATGTGTGCCATGAAGAGGACAACAGAGCTAATCTGGAATCTGAGACAGAGAAGGGGGTGAAGTTGGACCTGGAGGCTACCAAAGGAAGCATTGTAGCACCCGCAAATGAAGCAATCAGTGGAGGCTGCGGTAATCTTATGAAGAGGGGAGCCTGTGGCAGTTGTGGTGCTGTTTGTGGAAACAAACTAAAGAGTGGTGGTTGTGGTGGGTGCGGAAGTGGTGGTTGTGGAAGTATGTTAGAAAGCAGTGGCTGTGGCAGTGGCTGTGGCAGCGGCTGTGGTGGTGGTGGTTGTGGAAGTATGTTAGAAAGCGGCGGCTGTGGTGGCAGCGGTTGTGGAGGCTGTGGTGGTGGTGGTTGTGGAAGTATGTTAGAAAGCGGTGGCTGTGGAGGTTGTGGTGGTGGTGGCTGTGGAAATAGGTTAGAAAGCAGCGGCTGTGGAGGTTGTGGTGGTGGTGGCTGTGGAAATAGGTTAGAAAGTGGCGGCTGTGGAGGTTGTGGTGGTGGTGGTTGTGGAGGGAATAGTTTGAAAAGCAGTGGTTGTGGCGGCTGTGGTGGCGGTGGATGTGGTAATGGTTTGGCATCTATCACAACTGTTGAAGTTAATGCATAAATGACATCCCAAAAGAGGGTAATAATAAAAGTTATCATGCTTTTTATGTTTGTTGAACCCTGTTCAGATTACAACACTAAGCTCTTGATGAGACTCGTGTGTCTTGTAATTAGGATTTCAACTGTTGGAAATGTTTGTTGTATTATTATGAATGTAAAAAGGAAATAATGTGTCAAGAATGAATGCATTATATGTTGTTCTATTGACAGGTTTGTGTGTGTGAAGTAGTACTATTATGGAATAATGCAATGGAGTGCCGTTTGAGCATCTTTTCAATGCTTGATAAATATTGCTCTGAAGCTGAATTAGTTTTGCTCATTTATTTGCTAGTGTTCGTGGCTGGAACCAGTCATTTATCTCCCTCCCAGTTAGCTGCGGCACCTGCCTTGTCTTCTTGGTAAGTTTCTATCTCACTTCATCGCATGACGCTAGTGATTATTTGAATTCATAATCAAGTAGGAAATTTGGGCCATATCTACTTGTAAATGAATAAATCTGGCTGGAAAAACATTGATTTTGTTGAGAGATTTACTGATGCATAAAGTGACTTTACCTGATTAAGTCACACAAAAACCAACTGCTAGTAACTTCTTCTACTTGTTGGTGTGTTGAATACGAGTAATATTTACTTGTCCAAGATTGGAGTAAAATGCTAATGAAAGAAACTAAGAAAGGGAGGGTCTCATTGGTCGAACAAATCCTTTGCGCAGTTATAGTTTAGTTCCAATGGTTTGTATATGGAAGAATTCCATCAGTACCCAAGTGGCCATTATGTGTTATGGTTGTCCTGTTAATATAAAGAGACTAAACTCCTTCGATGGTTTGTCATTAGAAATAATTACTAGAAAGGTGTCTGCTTAATACTTTTATTACTGAACAATATAATTAGGAAAAGAGAATCATGTCAATTGTATTTCTAAGAGATATTATTTGAAAAATGAGATTATCGAACGCATGCTTTTTAAGAGATGTGATTTGAAAAAAGTGTGTATATAAGTAACTCTTACACACTATATATATATAATATAAAGTTTATACATTGTGTATATAGATGTATAATGTTGTATACTGAATGTATAAGCGTTGTTGCAAAAAAAAAAAAAAAAAAAAAAAAAAAAAAAAAAAAAAAAAAAAAAGAGGCTATGCGGGTGTAATGTGAAATTATGGGCTACGTAGATGTAATATTTTGTATTGAACAGTAGATTTTATAAAAATTCCCTTTAAATGTTACTATTATTCTCAAATAATATGGAAAATGAGCCCTATTAATTGAAATGATCTTTGACAATATTACTGATGTCTACGATAAAATGATTGGAAAACATTTTTTCTTATTTTGCTAGTGTGCTAAATTTGACAATAATGATAATGTGACGTATGTGGGGGAAATAATACATAATGGGAAGAGAAAAAAAATTATATCTTCTGTGATAAGAAAGAGGTAATAGATATATTGCGGAAAAAATATAAAAATGGTTTGGAATATGAATATAGTTTGTGAAGATATTTGATTATAGCTTCATATCTAGATCATGTTGTGTTCAACACACCCCTAAGATCTTTAATTATATTGCTTTTAACTTAGCAACTTCTTTTATTTTATTTCTTGGTACATGAATTTTCTTAGGAGATGATATCCCCGAATCGAATTGTTATATGCTTCTTAATTTGAACATATCATATCTTAAATGAATTAATAGATAAATAATTATATAACAATTAGTCAAGTCATTCAAAAAAAAAACGTATCTGGTCATTTCTTCTCCTAACAGTAACCTATTTGGAAAATTCAAACATGATAGAGACATGTACCTATTTTCTTACTAATATTAATGAGATATGAGACTTTTAACTCATCGAAATTTTAAAAATATCTTTTTTTTATCTTGTATAAAATTATGCGTTGCTTCTCACTCAACATAACATGCATATTATTTGTTTGTGAATATATATGATCAAAATGTGTTTTTAATGTATGGATTTTGATTTCATTTAGCATACATTATGTTCATTTCCACTAGGTTTACTCCTTACGAATCAAATGAAATCAAAATTCATATATGTCAAGGACAATCTTGATCACTTTTATATGTATTAAATAATTAATACTGCCAATCAAAAACTGCATTTCAACTAATAACTTTTAAGGAATTACTTGGATCAGAGCAAGTTAAGGTTATTTATTTATTTTTCGATATTTAGTTTTATATATATATATAAAAAATATATATACTAAACGTTTGATATTTTGAGCATCTTAATAAGTTATTTATAGATTCTTACACAACTATATAAGTATTATTTATGAGGAAAAAATCAATCCAATGTTGAGTTAATTGATATTGATGTTTGTGTGGAGATTCAAATCCTTTAAATTCCAACAAAACATGGATTCATGTGTTACTCATGTTCTTGTTTACGTTGCAATATAAGTTATACTCTCTTTGTCCAACAATACCTTATTCATCGTGGACTTTACACACTTTTTTAAAAACTATAAATGTAAGAATAATTTTACTATATCACTCTTTGAATATAATAAATATAATATTTTGAAAAATTTACTCTCTCACGGTTTTTAAGAAAAACCATATTAAAGGATTACAAGGGAAAAAATTAACTAAATTTACCTTAAAGATAAATAATTTAAGATAACTATATTTAGACAAATAACATATAATTTGAGATAGATGAGGTACATACACAATCTGATAGTATCACTAATTTTAAAAATATAATTAGTAAAGTACTACAAATATTTGGTGATGATTTCACTAATCAATGCGATTTAGAAACAATACAGTTAAAGAAATATTTATAAGAAACCCCAAAATTCATTTTAGAAGTAGTTTTATTACAAAATACTCCATAGAATTTCTTTTTCACTCCTTAGGTCTATTTTTTTTACCGATGAAGTTAAAAGTAACCAATTTCGAAAAGAGTGTCATTTCGTCAATAATGCTGGCCAGAATTATGTGTTACGCTTCTCCCAATAATTTAAAGAGACCTCACTCCTTCATAGTAATATTTTTGTGATTAGAAAAAAAAATCCATTTGATTGAGAATTCAAATTATTTTTTATGCAAGAAAGTCAAGTTACAATAAAGTGTTTCTGGTTCATTCTTTGTCCATTTGGAAAATTCAAACCTGATGGAGACATGGAGGGACCCCAACACTAGTAGCTACTACATTACTTATGTTCACTTTCAAACATAATTATTCTCTCACCGAAAGTTGAAAATTATGCGTAGCTTTTCTAATTTTGTGTGCAATCTTACTAGCTCTCGAGTAATTCAAATTCGTATAGAATAAATTAATTACAAAATAAAAGGTTGATCTCTACCAAAATAAATTTTGAGGTTACATATAAATGCGCTTGAAGGAGAGGATCAAATTGTAAATGAAAGAAATTAGATATGGAACAATCTTTAGTGCAAATTGTGTTGATAATTATGTAGATGCCTCTACAAAAACAGAGGTGATTGAGCTGTTGGGACTGAAATAATCAGGGCATTGTGCGCAAGCTAATAATTACAAAATATATTAGTGAAAAATCAAATGACAAAGAAAATTATACTAAAACATTCATAATATATTGTTTGGTCATTTAATAGCGGCCTATATAAAAGAAACTAATGTAAAATCTAAATTGTTGAGAGAAAAATCTCCTCCTAATAAAACAAGACTTTATAATCGACTAATGAATGATATTGCATATATTATGATATGAGAAGAATGATCTTTAATTTATAAAAATTCAAACTTTTCTTCTAAAAAAAAAAACCAAATATAAAAGAGAGATTTATATTAGACAAAATTAAAACTCAAATATGATAAAAACACGAGACAACCAACTTTGAAGCAACGAACAAGGACTAACATTCTGAGAGATCTAATAATAGTTTATCAACAGATGAAGAGGATAGAAGGGTCACAGCAACACTCATCAATCAGGAAACAGCAACACAAAGCTGCCAGACTGCACCAACGTAAGTAAACACAGAGACGGATTCAAAATTTAAATAAATACAGTATCCAAAATTCGCGGAAAAAACAACAACAAAAGAAGGGGCACTTACCATCCCTCAAGAAAGCCAGGTTCCCTTCTTGGAGGAGGAGCTGCATAATAATATTGAGGTGGTGGAGGCATCACTGGAGGACCTTGATAATAACCTATACAACACCACCATTAATTAATTAAAATCAATTGAGGGAGCTGTGTGTATTAATTAAGGTTGATTAACCAAAAAGAAGTCAAAATTAAAGTAGATTAATTAAGATTAATAGTAGTATATAGGAAATTAAAAGTTAAATATACCTTGAGCAGGGTAGGGATGTGCATACTTTGGTGGCTCACTCATCCTTAATTCCAAACTTCTTCACAATATCTCACTGAGATAAATATATGTTTGTTGTAAAGAAATACTATAACAAGAATATTTATATACAACCACACAGAGATTTTCATTTTAGTCTTTTTCAAAAAATAAATAAAATTAATTTTTTTTAATTTTTTTTTTATCTTTTTCACATTACTATCCTCTAGCTTTATTAGGTATATAGGACGTAAATTTGTGTCCCTACAAATGATGTCAATTGACAATGGTTATTACATGATACCTTTTTTTGTTTAACAAGTAGGTACACAAAATAAAAAAATTCAATAACACTCTATACTTTGTCTTGGTATGGTGGAGCAGTTGCAATTTGTCCTTTGGCCAGAAAATTTCTATAGTGGAACTGGTTTATTGGAATGAGTGACTTAGCAAAATCATCACATTACATTGGATATATAGTGAAGTATATATTCAGAACTACTGAGATGAGCATCAATATGAGATGTGGTGGGAACATTGGATCCCTCTATCATTAGTTAGAAATTTCGAATTTGAGTTATGAATAATTTAAATTAATCAAACTATAATATAGATTTCGAATACCGAGTGTGTGGAAATCAAAAAACAAATAAGTTGAAATGAGCACTATTTCTCACCAAAAAGAAAAGAATAGAATAGTTACAAATTCGGCTTTGGGTTATCACAATCAATAGAAAGTAAAACCTTTTTAGATTTTACATTTCTCCTTTTAATCGTACAAGTTAGAGAAAAATAATTCTTTCTTCTAAGCCTCTAGTATCCGAAGTCTACTGATCCCATTAATTTAGATTAGCATCGCACAACATATATCGTAGTGTGTGCACTTTAATTTGGAGAGAGTCAAACAAGTGTGCTAACTAGGCCTCTGAGCTAGCCCATTGAATTAGGCAGCCCAACTTGGCAATGAACATTACAAACATATGGTTGAAGCTCTATCATCAGGCGTTGGCCCAAAATCCAAATGCAGCCTACGTCTGGCCTGAAAAATGGACCATTTGCCAATGGACTTTTAACACATTTGATCGCTCGATAAGAAATAATTATAGCAGTTGGCCAATAATATACAATTCATACGATGATGTCTGACCCAACATACATAAGAAGTGCTCGGGACGTAACCCATACATCAAGTTCAGTTATTCTTGAATGCTACATAAATTTCAAAGGAGTAACGTAAAGATTACTTTCCTAGTATAGAAAAGGACATGTTGATGCTAGTAAAAAAATTAGTTGTACCGAGTATTTACATCAAATCAATGAATGCATAACATGTGTTAAAATTTTCAACATCTATCACTTAAACATATATAATTAACTATTGTATGTTTTTACTTTATTAAATCACTCAACTATAGTTAGATTCCATCGATAAATATCTAATGCGGATAAGTTTTTACCGATGCTTCCATGCCTTGTAATGATTATTGCATCGAATATTTGCAAAATTTGCCTAACAAATATAATATTCATATAGCAAATCGTTAAAAGTGACAAAAGTCTCACATTGATGGTTAATAAAATGAGTGGACTCATTATAAGGGCTTCACAATTCATCTCTTTTTGAGCTAGCTTTTAGGGTGTGAGTTAGGCCAAAACCTAATTTAACATGGTCTCAAAGCAGAACTCTATCTCACCCAATATTATACGCCTGAAATGCACAAGTCATGCAGACTGCAGAGTTTATCATTATTAGAACCAAATGCTATTCAACTAATTCTTATATATATGCGATGAATAACAGCACTTGAATTGTTATCTCTTGTTCAGCTTAAGGACATTATTATCTTTAAATATTCTTATACACATACTGTTACGCGCGTGCAGGGAAGTAGTTCCACTTTCTTTGCCACATCACATTTAAGGGAATATAAAATTCAATTGAAACTAAATTAGAGAGCTAAATAATTACCCGTAAAGTTAAAGTGTCAAAGTAAGTTTCGCTGCCAAGTTCAAGAGAGATTTTATGTATTTTCTCAATAAGTTATAATACAAACATAATTTTGATTGAATAGTAATAAAGATTCCAAACCCGTGACATATATATATTCAATGTTATATGCAGAGAGCATGATAGGATGTTGTTACGGCACTTGTTGGCCTCTTTAGTCTTTCCCTCAAAAATGTTAATATTAGGCGTTTCAGAATGTTACTATTGGTCAAACACAGTGGCAAACACACCTTTTACATACTACACATTTTATTTCGTTACGTTCCATGAAAAAAGAAAAAAACTTACTTTAATATATTTATAAATATTGAAGAAAAAAAAAAGGTTCTCAAGATTTAGGATCTATGTAGCATGTCTTCATTTTCTTATTCATAGGTTTGTATCAATTAAGTTTTGTCTACTTTTAATGAGTAATTGTTTACATTTTATCCATCTGTTTTAACTTGATATCTTTGCGGGAGTTATATCTCAACCTTATTGGTAACTCTATAGAAGAAAGAAATCGCAGCACTAGGATAGTCCAAGACAGAGGCGGACCCACCTGTTTTGGTGAGGGTGCACGTGCACCAGTGGCGGAGTCAGAATTTTTAATAAGGGGGTTTAAAATCTGAGAAGTAAATACACGAACTAGTGGAAGGGGGGTCGACATCTATTATACATACCTAAAAATTAATTTTAACATTGTATAAATAGTAATATTTTCCGCCGAGGGGGTTCGGATGAACCCCCTAAATATATGTTGCCTCCGCCCTTGACGTGCACCGGTTAAATTTTAAAAAAATCATGTATATATATGTATATTATTGTATATATATCTTAAGAAACTAGCAGAAAGCAGGATATATTTAATAGTACACCCATAAATACAATAGAAGTGCCCTTGTGCAGCTGGTACAAGGTACTGAAATCACCCGCAAGACCAAGGTTCGAACCCAGCTTAGCACCTATTACATTCAAAGTTTTCAAAACTTGGGTTCGCCTCTGATCCGGTTGAAATCAATTAGAAATAAACATCAAATTGGAATAGAAAGGATTAACTTTAATTAAAATTACGAGCAGTTATCAAATTGGAAGACAAAATGTGATAATAGGCTGACACTGTGTTTGCAAAGTTTTGGCGTACACAACTTATCTTGACTGACAATTGGGTCCATCAAATCGTTTTGAGTTTTTCTGGGGAATGACAAAAGACCAAGCCCACTAAATATTTTAATGGGCCTACAGGTTTTCTTCTTCAACAATCACTCTTTTCCAATTAAATTCTCTGTCTATTTTTACTTGTCCATTATACTAAAAAAAAATATTATTTAATAAGAGATATTTTACCCTTTTTATCTATTTTACCCTTGGTATTAAATACTACTCAATATCTAATACATTTCTCAAAGCAGTAAATTTAACATATTCAAAGGGTGATATAGTATTAGTAATATTATCCCTATTATTTATTGTTTAATAAGTTGTGTGCCAAGTCAATATATAACAACTATTATAGACACATGGAGTAGAAAGTATGGTAATGACGCAGATCGGTTCGATTCAATTTTATATATTATTAATTTGATTTATTGATTTTTAGTTTGTGAATACGTTAAATTGATTACAAAATTAATATGATATTTATTATCAATTTTTAGTCTATTAAGATTTAATGTTTGGTTTAACCAATAGAAAAAAAAAATCATATGATTATATGTGCATAATCTTCATAAAATACAGAAATAGTAGTAAAAACAAAAGTGTAGTATAAATTTTTACATTGATCACTTTTATTTAAGCCAAGATTTTTTTGAATTTCTTCTAAGGAGTCATGTAATAAATTGTGAAAATAAGATTAATTATCTGTTTTTGTCATAATCAAATCTAGAAGGGAGAAGAGAAGGTAATACTCATTTGTGTTGAGAAGAAAGAAGATATCACAATAAAGAGGCTACCTTTCGGGCTGAAAGTAATACTAAAATTTAGAAAATATATAATTGGTAAAGTATTAAAGTTATTGTGATATTATTAGGACTAAAATAGTTAAAATACAAAATCGTTTAAAATTCATTAACCCAATAACTCGATAACAATAAATTAATTGTTTTTTTTTTGTATTTGCACCCATCCAACCTTTTCTAGTTAAATCAACTTGAGGTTTGTATTACTCAATAAACGACCCATACATGGACATGACAAAATAAACATGGAGAAAATTAGGACAAAAAGAATCATAAAAAGTGTCACTTATATATATGGGTATACTCTCTCTATATTACCATATATATAATTTGCTAAACCAAAAAAAACAGATAATTATTCATAAAATGTAAAATTTATAAATTATATATTGAAAATAAGATAAACTACTTGTTTTAACAAGTAAAAATTACCTTGATACAAAAAAGATAAAAAAAAAATCAACGATATCATGATATATAGGTAATTGAACTATTTTTTTATTTGTACGTGTCATCCTTACACAAGGGTCATGCTAATCTTCTCTGTATCGTTTTGATTTTATCAACGGAAAAGACTTGTATATAAGTAAAAAAAAAAAGCATATGCTAACATGTTTTGTTTCAATAGACTACTTTAATTAGCTGGAGAATTTTTGTTTTTCATACTTTTTTTACATTCGACAATTTGGTACGTACGTTCTCACGTGAACCATTTACCTTGTTAATCTTACATGATTGCATCTTCTCTGTTACCAAAAAAAACAAGGTTTAGAGAATAATATTACATGATGGTTGATTAGACTATTGAGGACTAAAAGGACAAATGTTAAATTATTACTCTCTTCGTTTCATTTTATGTAATAAGTATCATTTAACTTGGTATCATATTTAAGAAAAAAATGAAGATTTTTAAAATTTGTGGTTCAAAATAATTCTTAGATATTTGTATAGTTATAAATTAATTCATTAAGGATAAAAAAGAAATTTTAAAATCAAATTATTTCTAGTTATAATAAGATAATATTCATTTTGAGATGAACTAAAAAGGAATTATAAAAGGAAAATTATATTGAATATATATTTTAATTAAAGGGAGGACTAAAGTGTTTGGAAGAGGGAGAATCAATTCTGAATGAAGTACTACAAAGTATGACATTACTTCTCTTTTTCTACTAACAAATTATGCATTTGCCTAAACTATGTTGAGAA